GTTTAAGAGAAGTTTTTGCCCATAAAGCATTTTTTTCCTGAAACTTAAGGCCCACGTTGAGTCACGTGGCTTTCATATTTATTGTTGCCAGCCTACTTTGTAATTTAAAAAGATCAAAATGTTATACTTAGTTCAATAAAGTACAGTTAGGTAGAGAGCTCAGTGGTTTCGTATAGGTATCAGGGTGGTGGCCGAATAGCAGTCACTAATCTTTCAGTATGTTTAACCACAGCCCTCTAAAGAGTGGCAAAGACTGTTTTTCACCTCGTCCAGTCCGACTAAACACCGTCCGTTTCTAAAACTCCCGTGACTGCTTCAAATACCCTGATTTTTTCTCCTGGGTATGGTTCTGGAAAATTCTAAGGTAGGGGGCATTTGTTATCGCACGACTAGACTCACTTTCGTGTCCCTCTCACCTGCATTCCAAACCAACTTATTACTTACACAGAATTTTCCTTCGATCAAAAAATCCGTAGTCAGTTTCGAGACGAACAGATTAGATACATGCGTTTCGGACAAACCCAGATAAACAAAGGACATGCTTATGCGCGTGGAATGCACGATCGAGCTTGTGAACACAGTTCATTGTTAAGAGGACAGCTACTCACTACAGCTTGCGTTTGTGTTTGAAGCTGTTTTCGCCTAAGCGATTAAGTGAATAAAACCTACATATCTTGTGCACTCTCCTCATATATATTTCATCTGTGCCCTTCAACATCTTTAGTCGCATTTGTTTCGCTACTAGCAAAGTCTTCTAAAACCTCATAGGTGTCAACCACGACCGCTAAAATGATAGCGAGCAATTTACCTTGCGCGTAATGAACACTGTGACCGGTCTTTCCCTAACCCAACCCTGAAAGACTCCTTGTGTAATCCCACGACCAGACAGGCAGAGAGCATCAACGCATTACGGACTCCATTCTTCCCTTCAATTTCACAGAGAACTTAGATTCTCACCACAGTGGACTTTACGAAAGGCGAATTCCTGCGAATACAACTAACTTGATATAATCCTTAAGTTTTTCCTTTCATTTTGGATGGACAATTTTGTAGCCAGTATTCCTGAACACAGTTGTGGTTGCTAGTGGGTGGAAAACTGTAGGTGTTAGAACAGAAATTTGATGGAACCACCAAAAAGCGACAAAAAATGTCTGGCATAGCGTGTGTCATATATTGAGAGAGAAATTCTCGTGCACACCTACATACACATTTTGCTACAGTTCTGTATCCTTTTCATTTTTCCTCTTGAGCGGTAATCCAGGGTCCTAATTATATGATGACGACAGTAGATATCGGTTTTTTTCAGACCATTGTTTATGCTTGCATGAACTCGTAAACAAACAGTGTACTTTCGTTTACGCCATGGCGACCGTGGATATGTGGTTCACGCCATCATTGTCCTTGGCCTAGAGTTTGATGCCGCCACCAACTTTCATTGCGTGCTAGATAAACGAGGGTAACCTGGAACGTTGCTTTCAGTTGGAATTGTTTTTCTTTGTATCCTATCGCTGCTTTCACATGCCGGAGAAGGGTCAGGGATATAAGGCTACGCGCAGAAACGGTCTTATTAATCGAACGGTAGAAAATCGGAAAAACCGCATTGTTGGGAGGACTCAGTTTTTTGCCTGTGTTATCAAATGTCATTCAAAACACTCGCCCACATCCCTGTGTCTGGATATTGGGAATTTGGGAAAAGTCAGGTGAAGTATATTTTGAGCTATCAGTGACTGTACACTGTAGAAAGTGTTTGGAGAAAGTTTGGATAAAAAGCAACCGATAGAAGTGATTGAAACGAGTGCCGTAAATGAATGAGCGCTAAAATCGGAGGCAAAAACAATACATAAATTAGACCTGGTATAAGGTTTGTGTTTGCACCTCATTGTTAGAGGGAAGACTGTGTGAATGATTGACACAAAGTAAACGCCAGAAAAATTGCGCGTGCTGTTGTACTCAGAAGTACTCATAAGTACTCATAAGTATTATCTGTACGACGACCAATCTCAGCCGAGATTTAAGGTTTTATCCTCGGGTTAATCGGGGCAAAATTTTAAAGGCGAATGTTCCACCTTTTTCAAGTCAACTTTACTGAATGCCTCAGTCGACCTTCCTATAGATATTTTCATAAAAAATATTTATCTGAGAACCATCTGAGAATCAGTTTGATATTAGAAGTAACTCAGCAGACAAAATTGAAGGTGATCAAGAAGCGTCATCCGCTTACCGGTCTTAAAGGTTTTGGTTACGACACCATCTTTCTGACGGGATGTTCCGCTAATAAAAATGAATTAAATCCTGGGTATGCAGAGTGGTAATGTTTTTTACGTCCGAGACAGGCATACCAATATTTCTGTCACTGCACTCAGTCAAGTGGTAAATGGAAGCGCCTGTGAACAATGAAACGACACCAAGAAGGGACATGAGTTGGTTGTTCAGTTTAAGTTCAATAAAACTAGGGTCTGACTAAGTCTTGATGCCGGTATTCATCACCGAGTAGGTTCCGTAATCAAACACGCCCTTTGACCACTGAATATTGAGTAACGTAGAACAAATCAAGAATAGGTCTCCGTGGTTGGTTGAGTGCACACACTTAGCAAACCATATAACTGGGGTATTGCAGTTCTGAGGAAATAAGGAAACTGAACAAGTTTCAGCAAAATCTTATTACATCCCCGGTTACAAAATGCAGCTTTTCGAAAAATACGCTGATTTGTAACTTGTTTGTCAGCAATAGAAGGTTTATTAATCAGTTTGCTAATTTATTTGTGTGACTATGACCTAGTTGGTTCAGCTTTATTGTATCAGCTAGTGCCAACTCTCTTGATGATAGTTGGTAAATTACAGTAGACTCTATACTGCTATGACCAAGGTTTCTGTCTTTGTCGTTTCACTATTAGAATCTGGGCCAATTCACAACAGATTGATTCAAGCAATCCAGGCACTAACAGAATGTAACTACATGTAGTTACATGCATTATTCTTTGAATAGCTTGGCTTCACTCCAATCTCTGGAAATGCCCCGTTTCGTTGGGCAGAGAGCGGTCGTTTTCACATTTGTCGTTCAACCGCACTACTCCGTAATAACAAGTAGTGACAAATTAGCGGCAAACTCATCCACCCACCTGGCGGAAAATTTGATTTTTGAGGCCAAACACCCAGTTGGACATGTACTTTCAAGTCTCTGTCTGACATTGTCTCAGATTTAAAGGCAATCTTTTTCACTTCTAGGCTGATAACCGTAAATCGTTTTCTTGCCAACTTACTGTAGCTAGACTGAATCTAAAGCCTGAAACACCGTTACGCAAAATCCTATTCAATGATCATTCAGCTGGAGTATGTCCATCACAGTGTGACCTTGAGATAAAGAATTAGAATTCAGTGGTAAAAACGAGCTGTCAATAATTTCTCCCAAGAATGTTAACTAAACTATTTTGATATCAGTCAGGTGTTCAGCCAACAAACAAATAACCACCTGATCCACAAGGGTCCACAATGATCCACAATGAACACACCCGGGCTATTAATAAGCCGGACATACTTCATCATATAAACTAGGTATAGCTTACGCGTTTATTCCTGGGGCGCGAATTCCAATTACAGTGAGTCCATCTCGTTAATATCCGTATCCTTGAAAATATAAATCCATGACTCTATGTATTGGGAGACTGATACTTTGATGAGCACACCGCGGTATTTTGTACGTGCGCAATATTCACTTTCCACTTCACTAAAATGGTAATCAAGTTACTTTATTATGCTGTTTCTTTCATGAATTTTGAAGCCTTTTTTCACTTTTCTGAATCGCTATAGTCCCTTTGCGACAAAATGGCAAGTCATGGATATTTTCAGAAGGGACAATATAACTTCCAGGAACAAACGCTTTCGTCTCGAGGGCTTCTCCCCTACTTTTACATGCACGCTCAGGTGGATGGAACGAAGGGATATCGTCTTAGAACTACAATACTCCCTGAATATTCATTGTTCCGGAGGCGATTTTACTTGGCTTGAAAATTTCCTCGTTTTACACCGTTGCTTGGTTTTTGGTCGCCAGTGTCAACAGGATTTCATGATGGCGATCTGAGTTCCGGTATTTCTTGTGTAATTATAAGAGACTGGCCTTTCTGGTTATTGGCTGCTACACCAGAAAGTCCGGAACAGCTGCGTTTAGCGCTTAATTTGTCCTGAGAGAGGCCGTGTGATAGGAAAATTCGGAAAACATCACTCGGGAAGATTAGTGTCAATAAGGTATCCTTGAGCTAGATCAGTTTTAATTGGCATGCAAAGAAAAATTCAACCAGTGGATTGAGACAAGTCCACTTATTTAGCCTCATAAACCATTGGAGACGTTCAGCCGCTGTTTTACTACTAGCTGGTGACTCAACGACTCAACGACTCAACCTCTTCTGGTTATTGCAGAATGTAACCTGTTGTGTTCCTCACTACCTTCTCAGATCCACAGATTCTCTGTTGTTTGCAACTCTGATACTGGAGCAATAAATATGCCAAAATAATGCCAAACATCTTTTGGTTTAGTCATATCGGTGTTGTTTCGTCCCAGTGACCCTTGTGCTAAATATGGCCCTGAAGGCCCTCATCAATCAGTGGGCTCAAAAGCACCCGACTTTTCCGTTTGGTTCTAGATTGAAATTTTGCTTCCACTTGCTAGTAATATCCGTTTGTCAAAAAAATTAACACAAAGAAAAGACTTCTGAGAAGGAATTCACTGCTCTGCAGACGAAAACACCGGTTTCATCAACGACGATCTGTTGCGATCCCTTTGGAAAGGGGAGTAAGACAGAGGAAAAATTATCCTTCGAACACATCTGCACCAACCTGAATGGTCACTGAATGGAACTGAATGGTCCACTTCTAGTTGATTCAGAGGAAACACATCCAGATGGTTTTGTGTCGCACATTCTAAACTGATGCTATCAGAGCCCGTTTTTTTATTCTAACCACACAGTAGTCTTCCACTGATTTAAGCAATTTATTTTCACTTTCAGGTTTTCTGAGCATATCGGTCATTGTGGAACGTCAGGAAGGCTTGAAAATGAAGGAACTGCTTGAGCGTTTAAAGCCAAAGGACAATTCAAGGATAATACTTAGGCGATTTGGAACAAACGTTTGCATTTGTATGAATCAAGGTGGCCAAGTCATAACCGAGGTAAGGTCAGCCACAATGTTCTGATCAGTCTCTTCCGTCTGGTTTTGAATACCTCAAATCCTTTGCTGTAGAGTGTACGTCTTCTTGACACAGACCATTGGAATAACTGCAGATTGCATGGATTACCTTGACATAGCGCTACCCAACTGCATGTGCTTTCCGTCCAACTAACATAGAAACCCAGAGAGCTTCGTGAGTGATGTTAAAAAATAACCACCTCAGAATGGCAGACCATTTACAAAATAAAGCCAATAAAGTCAAAGAAATACGCATTGTCACGAGTGAGTGCTTTCTAGTAGTTGGATATCCACTAGGACTCCCTCAGATTGCGGCTAAAGAGCAGTCCCATAAGTGAAGATTCCACCGCTTCTGCCGTTAACTTTTTAAGGAAATTACTTTGACAATGTCTTACGTCTGGTGTTACTAGTGAATAAAATTCTGCTTATAATACTGTTAGCAGTTAGTTTTTTGCATACGGGACGTAGGATAAATGCTACAACCATTTTCAAACCTAGGTATGAAATCCAGTTGCTGTTCTTGACAGGAGGATGAAAATTTCTTACTTCTGGAGCTAAATGCTATGTATTCGCATGACCCAGATTGGTGTCATAGACTAATTCGTGTTTGAAAACATCGTATCATTTTCCTAACCATCAGTAAGCCCACTGCTTTCTTCGTAAAAAGCATCGTTTTCAGCAAAAAATCATCGTCTCTTCGTCTCCGTCATATTCATCCCAGGTAGAAACGAAACCATCGGTATAGACATTTCAGTGTTACACAACCAAACATAATCTCTCAAAAAATCTACGGTATAATTAACAGAAGTAGACTGGAAATGAATGGCGTGGTGTGTTACCCAAAGCATCCTAAGGTGCCTATATCTCTATATGTTACTCCGTAGCGAACCCCATCCACATTGCTTGGCAGATATGTTGTGTCCTCAAAAGGATCTCATCCTACGAGACGGGTCACAGCAAAAAACAGGCATAACTCTGAATGGGGCAGTCCACAAATTGCTCACTTTTTGATGTGTGACAAACTACAGTGGTTTACTCGTCTGCACGTGAGCACTATAGCTATGGTATAGAAAATGCAGGTAAAGATTGCCCATTGGACCGAGACAAAACTACCAACAGGCTCAAAAGACTAATTACGCATTCGTTAGCTAATACGGCTAAAAATGAAACCTAACCTCTGTTCGCTTAGTCCCAAGCCCATTTTGAATGTTAGGCCGATGTTTTTATCTGGAAATTCCACCGACAAATTGACGCTCTTGTTTTCGCTTTGACATTAACAGCGGCTCATCGACGATACCGTTTCCGACAACTGTGAATGGCGAATGCGAAGCTCACGGTACGGTCTCGGTTTTCAACGTGTTTTCGAGGATGAAGATATACCGGATGATGGATCTGATACTCGGATGCCTGCCAATAATCTAATCGCAACGTTAAGTGCGGACCCAACAGCTTCTATAGCTTCCGGCTGGTCGTACAGACTGTGGCAACCAGAGGCAACGTGGGAAGTGCGCGTGGAAAAATACATTAAGCTTCAGCGTGATATGGTCAGCAACGTCACCGAAGTCAGAAATAATATGAGTAATTCCATGACCTACCCCTACAGTTTCCCTTTACTGAGCGACACAAAACCAGAAAAAGAAATGGATGAACGGACATCCATGAGAGTGGGTGAGCGCGAAGTCTATTCACTAGAAATTTTGCCCCAAGATATCGACTCGTTATACCGCGAAAGTCAACAAATGTATTGCAAAAAAATTGAACTGAAGCTACGGGATATTGTGAAACATGAAATCTCTGCGAGTATATTTGTCCTCAATGAGCTTTACGTATCTCTGTCCAAGCTACAAGCAAGACTGAAAACAAACCCCTCCCCATTTAAGAGCAAACCGATGGCAAGGCTTTTAGACGAGTGGCTGCTGCTCACTTATTATCGCTGGCAACATAAAGTACAGCGCCAGGTGATTGCGCAGCCGAAAGTAGCATATCCGTGTTCCCTCAGTTTTCAGAACCCTTATTTAAAGGTTAGCAATAAGGGTGATTTGGCAAAAGCAACGATCTTGGAAAAACAGGAATTCGCCAGTGTCTACCGTGGAATGCTCTTCAACTTATATCATTTGGCGTCCTGGACTGTAGCCCAAAGAAGGAACTGGATTGCCCGTCCACGGTTGACAACGTTATTCAGCTATTTAAATCTCTCGATTCCTTCTGTGGCGCAACTACGTCAGGCTTCGTTTATATTGAATCGTTATGTTTCTCAAGGCAAGATGTACTACTTTAGTGACGACACTACGAAACGAAAATTAGCACAAATGCTGCGGAGCAAAACACAATTGGAGAGGGTTGTTGAACGCTCTGTACTTCTGAAGTATGAGGAACTCCGGTTCTGGCCCCTGATTCAGCAGCGTACAGGTAAGAAATATGAGTCTTCCTTGATCAGAACGGACGACCTACGTGCGGAAATACTCCAGCTTCCAAACGAGTTATACTGTGCAAAAGAATTTCTGCAAGAATGGCAAGAGCAACGGGAACGTGAATCGCCCAGCTCATGTGTGCATAGTCATCCCTCACGACATCAACTTTCATGGCATACAAATCACCCCCGGAGTAATGCCATTCATCTTTACAAAACCCATCCTGAAACCTAGTTACATGTGGAAAAACCAAAGAATACCACTAAACTACCTGTCAGATGTATATTTTTCTATGGTTCGGCGTGATTAGAAAACATACCTAGTTAAATGAGATTTGTATGCCGTTCAACCGTAACAATTTGATCTTACTTACTCTATGCGTTCTGTCCTACTCCACTCTCTCGCGAATATTTTCCGTTCGTCACTAAACCAAGACAGAGAGGGTGGAGACCACATTTCACAACAGCAACAAGGCATTTTTCTACTTTTTTCTTTAAATCTTGTCGAAGATTTCCTTGATCACTGTCGACTGTGGTGAACCAAAACAATGAATTTCTTTTGCGCTCTTATACGAAACGATGATGTTTCAACCGCATGCGAAAGTATTTGATATAGACGGCATAACTAATGAATTGGCAAACAGAATCCAAAATGCAAGTGGACCTTACAATCCATTCTGGTTATCATTTCGGAAAAACAAACTGATTTGCGAACTGTCGAAAAACCCGGCAGCTGCAGTTTGTCATCCCTTTGGTGACCAAGTCCTCCGTTCCATCCCGACGCATGTAAATATCATTTCTCCACGTTCGAAAGTTAATGTCGCGTCTTGAATTATTGCTGCTCTCAGCTCGTGTAATATTCAGTCGCCTTTTGACGAGAAACCGGTAAGCTATTTATGCACATATATATTTTCCTATTCACTGAAATTCACTGATATTTTGTATTCATATGTATGTTCGCAGACATACAAAATTGTATTTCGGATCACGTCTGGCTTTTCCATGCTCAGCGGTATTAGAACTAATAATAGGATGACTGTTGTAAATTTACTTATCAGAATGACAGAAACATTGCATCCATATTCGAGAGTAAGACTCCGAATTCCCGCAACGACGTTTTTTATTGAAATTGTAGATTGTCCACTGACAGGAAACTTTAACTCTGGGCTAGGAAAAAACGATCCGTTTGTTTAAAAACGAAACTTGGAAAATGAGGGAAAATGCCTTGGAAAATGACGCAATACCACGGTGATACAGAACAAATGAAGATCCACCCCACATATTCATAAAAGTGTCTCGAGGAAATGCGTCGACTTGAAAACCTCATAACCCAAATGTTTGCTGAAAGTTATAAGCGAGATTAAACATCATGCAGTCTTTGCGGTATTACCGTCTCACACTCTTCATTAGAAACAGCATGTATATCTTGTTGTGGCACCCTCATTTTCTTCCACTGGGTTATACCATAACACGCGAATACCTAAAACAAGTGTTGTGTTTACTGGAGAAACCCATTGGGCTGCCATTTTTCAGTAACACGTTCCAGTTCAAATTTGGTGTGCGCTGGGGAATAGCCATGTCGTGTGTAGTTTTCCCTTTCTCTCCTAAGATAATTAACATTCAAGTGAAACTATCCATCTATATTGGATATACTTAGAACGTGCAGATGGGTACCTGTGTTATTACATGCCAAAACTTACAGCTTGTATTGGTAAGAATGTGAAATGATAGATATATCGTGGGAAGTTTAAGTAATGATACCATCAAGTGCTATACCAAGCTAATTGGCTAACAGAATGAACTGAAACCTGGCTATCGATCGCCTAGTCGAACTACGCCATCGATCGGAATTTAAGTTCCAGACTGTCATAGTATCTCAGACGGACTGAAACATCAGACAGTCCAACGAAGTCGGTGTGATTTGCTCCCACATGACATCTGATTCCGAAGTTATGCTTAAAAATGACGGAACTCGAATGGAAAAGAAGGTAGTTGGTGAGTATCCCGTTACATTTAAGTTATAAGTACCGTAGCAACCCGCATAACCGGGGTAGTTAAGTGGTTCAACGTAAAAAGTGGATATGGGTTTATCAATCGTACTGACACGAAAGAGGATATATTTGTGCATCAAGTAGGTTTTCTGACACAATGGTGCGTCACTAACCGATAGAGTGCAATCCTCAAAAACAATCCTCACAAGTGGCAACGATCTGTTGGTGATGGTGAAGAGGTTGAATTCGATGTAGTACAAGGTGACAAAGGACTTGAGGCTACGAATGTCACCGGGCCACACGGTGTACCTGTCCAAGGGAGTAAGTACGCAGCCGATAAGCGTCGCTATCGTTCTCGCTCCTTCGGCCGATGGAGACCTTGCCAATTAATATGTGGAAGACCAAATCTTAGTTTAGCACGAAACCAGGCACCAATATTCACAAGGTCATCTTCAAGTGATTCCCGGGTCGCCTCACGATATGATGAAATGGCGGTGGAAACTGACAGATATTCACTGAATGGTCCTCGAATGTCAAGAAATCAGTTCTTTCCACATCAACCTCCAATGATGCCACTGCTACCCCATCAAAATATGTTCTTTCCTAGACGCCCACTTAACATGCGACAGGTACATATCTATCAGTTTCGGAATAATGTCAATCTCCCTAGGTGATGAATTATCGTGGAGCCTATTTCGGTCCTCCAATAATTTTCGGCTACCGCCGCGGAGCAAATCTACTTCGACGCCGATTTGCTACCGCATACGAGCAGTCGGGTAACTGCCCCAGTATGAATGTGCTTCGGCCAGGTGCTTTCTCTGGACAACCAAACGGTGGAAGTTCCCGTTACCCAGTGTTGGCTTACGCTACTGATCGCCGCGATCCACCAGTTTTAGCAGTCCCTTATGAACCAGTATCCGGATTTCGCTCAATGAAAAGCTTCCGTGGAAGAGTGGCAACGAACGTCGGTCGTGGAAGAGGTGCATATTCCTATGGGTTTAGTAGTCTGCCGAAAGGAAAGGACCACAAGCCATCGACAGTACAGGGCACATCAGAACCTTCCGTCAATGCTGACACGGAGCAGTCCACAGCGCAGAATGCTGTGAAAGTACCAATAACTGACGAGAAAGTTGAACAGGAGAATAATGAAACTGCACAAAACAAACCCAATGAGGAAGGAAACGTAAGTTCGGTTTTTGTCAGTCATGACATTGAACATTGTAGGAACAATTAATTCTCGCGAAACAAGAAATGAAGATGACGGATAAGCCGATATCAGGGGTATGTATCCATTAGTGTAAAGTTGCAGTCAATTCACATCTAGCCCAAAGTCGAAGCCAGTGGAGACACGGCAGAGGATACCGTAACTACTTCTGAACCTGTGACAAAGGTTGGCTTATTACAGTTTGATTGAGTAAAATTACATAGAAAATCGAAAGTACGATCGAAATAACCGATGAGAAGAAACTGGTGGATACCACCTTGAGTTCTGAGGTAGTGTAAACCGTGCTCCGCTCGTTAATGAACCTCAACTTAGGACTCCTCAAAAGAGATTCAAACGAATGCTTGAAAGAAAGTGTAAATTTCACACTCTATCCGATCTGGTTGCTGATTTCCATCGTTCAATCATCTGACAGTTTGTTCTGTTGCACGATACCTTCAGATGTACATGTTGGTTAAACAACCGTTTCCCGAGACAACCTCTACCCCGTTTGCGAACGGACTATGTCGTGTCGAGGGTGAACAAGCGCTCGCTTCGCGTTGTCAACGGTTCAACAAATTTTGGCTGTGATATTAATCTACTAACTGTTAAAGAGAATTCTACATTCTCTGTTTAAATTCGTCTTTTCCCTCGTCACTCGATTGAAGCCAAAATTGATCCTCACGGGGCAATCAATCAAGATCACATTAGGGGAAATAAAATCCTGTTTGAAGTTAATCCATACAGCACACTAGCTTTAACAGGAGGTATGTGAAAAAACACTTATGACACACTGGGCCGTAAAATGGAAAACAGCAAGTTCCACCATACGGTTTATTTATTTATTTCAAATGAGAGATCAGCTGTGAAGTAATGCATTTTTTAGCAGCATTCGCCCGGTGCAATTCAATGTTAATAAAGCCCGCACCAAGTAGAGGCTGTGCGATAGCCTTTGTGGTATGCTCCGGCTTATAATCTGTTGTGACGATAATTGCTGTGGTGTACGGTGCCACATGTAGAAGTGATAGGTAATCGAAAGAATTAACCAGCAATATTCTGGAGCGCCATAGATGTACTTACGACAACCAGCCCGAAGGAAAACAGGATAAACAAGGCATTGGTAAGGCTTATCAAAGGACATGCTTTCCAGGGGTTTGTTGCGATATCAGGAGTGCGGTTATGGTGTCACATAAATTGTGACTGGTACACCACACTACGTAGGGACTTTTATTCATTTACCTGCTTCTGTGACTTCCATGTACAATCAAGCCAAGTCCAATAATAAACAAAGCGTCCTAAGTTGAGAAATTAAAACCCATCGAAGGACCACAGCCGAATGCGCATCCTAAGAAGTCTGCGAATCACAACACGTTCCTCGGGGTTACCTTCGAATTCTAGGTGGAATTTTGATACTAATATCTGCCGCATTCTGTTTCGTATTCAGTGGGGAACTGATGTGAATACTGGTGACTGTAGCACCGTGTTCTTACGACTTCAACGAAGTTAATTGCGGCGGACACTCAGAATTCCGAAGCTATACGTCCTAAAGAACACACCAACGACCATTCACATATCGCAAACACCATCGCCATCGATAGCAACACTGACGTAGATCATCACTTCTATACAAAGCCCCATAATGAAAAGGAGATATATGTAAAGAAACCGAACTGTTCGAGAGATTCTAGAATGATAGTTCCCACCGAAGTAACAGAATGGTGATCATCGAAAGATTAGCCCACAAAGTCTGGAAGCATACCGTGTCTCAACCTTCCACGCCATATTCACATTAGTTCTGGAAATTCATATTCCGACGTACCAGTTCGTCCAAATTCTGATACGTTGCAAATGGTCAACTTTCTCGGGTAGTTCGAGTAAGTCCAGCTAGAAATTGATCGTATGTTCAATACACGACCATGACACTCCGTAATCGTAACCTGGATGTTACGCCTAGGTTTGTTGACGAGTCTAAAAATATACGGTTTGGCTTGCGAAATAACTACGGTGAGCGGAAGGCTATCTGGGCCGATCGGTTTTATTGAATTCTGCCATTCCACTTCCACAGAATACAAATTTTGTTTCTACGTATGTTAGTTTTTCGCAGGTCAGTTTTTAATGATCGATTTCGATTCGCAGTGCGCCGAACCCCCCAAATATCATGTTGTATGTTGGTAAAGTGCGAAATGCTACCAAGGCAAGTCTAGACCAAGTGTGAAAGCCAACACATTACAGGTTATGCGACGCTGGTAAATGATTTCGCAAAGTTCTCGTTTAGTTATTCTGACGTTTGTCCCTCAAATCCCACCATATAAACATATCATTCTTTTCGGTTACTACGTGATAGTGAAGAGGCTGTTTCAGCTACCAGTCAAATACTGGGAGGATGAAGCAGTGATATCATTAGCTACACAGCCCAGACAAATACGGTAGCGCAGTGAAATAGCATCCAACTGCGCATCACAGGGAGACAGAACGAGTAAACTGCCAAATGTCCCGATGTGGGAGTCGACTGTGAGCGGTTGAACTTCAGGATTTATTGCCGGTGCATTGGCGTGGATGACGATCGCTCTCTAGGTGTTAACATACCACAGAAATGGAGTAGTGCAAGATGTTCCGCATTGTGGTGTCTGATATTACACTCTCCCAATCCCGAGTCTGACTGACGCAAGATGAACCAGCCGGAGCATGACTTTCTACAGTGCACATAAGAAACCGTGGTTCGCTGTCCAGCATATCACGTGCCCGGTGATGCATAGCGCTGATTGATGGAGGTTAGCACAGAAACCAAATTTCTGACAGCTATAGTCATCGACAGTAGTATAAGTTGGTTTATGATAAACCAAACAGCTTGTTGTATTATCGGGTCGTCTGACTACTGATATCCAAATAGGGGGCAGGGTTATTGTCGTTAGATTCGTGAGGTAAGCTGCGGTCTAGGTGGAGCGAACCGTCGACGGAAAAGGTTTTTATACAACTTCAGCTGTTCCAGGGCCACAACAAGCGTGCCACTTTAGTCACTTTTTCACAACTGAAGTTCACCAGTATATTGCATTGTCTCTGATTCCATGTTGTTATGAGCATATCAGGTAGTAGTGGACCCCAGGAGCCACCCGGTTTCAAAGCATCAATCTGTTCATAACCTGAGTCCTCGGCGCAGAGGAATCAATTTTCAGTATACTAGCCTTATGCATTTCGGTACTCCGCCGAAGTTGACCGCTTGATCATGACTGAAATGAGGTATATGCACTCCGACGACTCAATTATGATACGTCAATGCAGCTTCGCACGGCACTCATAAGTGTTAGGCCATAAGACCTTTCATAATTCGACCAGCTATCTAATACAACCGAATTCGTTTGGCTTCTTCGATCATATTGGATAAGCAGTGGCGTATTAACGATGAAACCGTTCACACCCCCCATACCACCAAAGCACGACTCATTTTCTGCAACTGTCTAGCACGGGCGGTCAACCCAAATAGCAACAGGAAAGTCAACATTTATTACGATGTCAAAAGTAAAGTAAAAGATACGGCGAAGTTTGAAAATTAGAGAGCCGATGCAATGGTTTTACTCTAAGTGGATTTCCTTGTCCTAGAGTACATGGATCACATGGTATATACCAGATATGCCAATTTTGTTGAACTAACAAAATCCTACCAAGCTTATAGAAAATCCATCTCCGACTTCGGGTAGATCATAGCTGACAAAACATCACTTCATCCCCTTCTTGTCTTGTTCGGATATACGTACTAATGTTCTGAACAGAGGGACGATTTTGCACATACGACGAGATCAGCAACGTTGACATCATTGCCTGAACATATATCATCACGCAATAGAATGAGAATACATAGCAAGGTCGAGCAGACACAAAGCCTCGAACGCGATTTAGCTTCCATATAGATGAAGCGGACCAATAGTTGCCAAATTCGTCAGAGGAATGATCACTATGACTTCACCGTAACTTGAAGAGCCCGTTCGGTGTCTTTGGGAAGCTTACAGCAAACCGCACGAGAAATCTGAACTGCAACACGATTCATTAGGTCATTATCTGACAGTTCGCTAACTTCCAATATCTCTTTGTGCAGTGGAATCGCAGGGGGAAGTCTCAACCTGCATGTTGTCATGCTTGTCCGACCTGGAGGTTGAAGGTAAAAATAAGTCCTAGACTAGAACCGAGTTGATTCACCTCCTTTTTTGCACCCTTCTCAACAAAGTATTCTTCAAAATCATTAACTGTTGCGTAGGGATGTTATACCGGTGTTAAAAAGCCATACTCTTGTCATAATCATTCCGACTGGAAGCTCCCATCAGTACAGAGTGGGCAGTGCCATATCCTAGTAAGCAGAGAAGTTAGAAAGTTTCTAACAAACGACCGTATTTTATATCATGACTTCGCTGTGAAAAGACAACAAAAAACGCCGAAACAAAGAAATCCCAAACAGGAGTGGGCAAAAAACCATGAACGGATCTAAACCACAAAACTTCAGCGCGTTATTATTGCAAAATGTTGAATTGTAAACCTGCATATCTCTTTCGTTCACATTCACTGGTTCAGTTCGGAGGCGGAGTTTTTCTTCAGCAATCTGCCTGCAAATGTCCCTACAAAAATCCATCCGGTTGGTCAAGTTTTTTTTCTACGGACCCCATTGTGTTCACTAGTTTGAGTATCATGCGACCAATGTGTATGTCTCTACTACCGATGAACGGGGCTGAACACAAGATGAGGTACAGCGATGCGACAAAGAATGAAGACCAGGAATTATATTTACACTGTACAAATGCACTTTCTACCAATCTATATAGAGTCAAGCAGTTTCACAACATTCACTAGCTTGGGAAAAGCAGCACGCGATTCGATGGAAGCTGCAAGTCTCAGAAGCCGTGGTTCGCTTAATTCCGGACCGATCAGTTGAAGACTCAGGGGTAGGCCAGTGGACGGAGACAGGCAGATGGGTAACGAAAGCGCAGGCATACCAGCAAGATTTGCGCCGACTGTGCAGACATCGTCCAATGTTGTTCGTGTTCTGTTATCTAGCTGGGTGAAATCTGACAGGTAAGTGGGTGGTCCAAGACTAACTGGTGTGAGGAGAAAATCCACCTCCTGGAAAGCCTGAGAATGAAAAAATACAAAATATACCACAAATCATTGGAGTGGTCTGCAATGGAGTTTGGAGCATCCGATGTTCCAGTAGATCAATACACAACATAGAAACAGTAAACTAACAGTCTGGTTAAGCTATACTGGAATCCTTTAGATACCCTAACAGACCGCCGCCCTGTAGGATTGACAACAGCTTCCCAGACCCATTGTGCGATCCTGAGCCACTACCCAGGAAGGCGAACATCCACTTCAACGAGGTGATCTATTTTGAACAGGGAAGTGGTTGTATACTCCAAAGTCCAAGAATTTGTTGGCAGATGCTGGGCGAATGGCACAATCAGTGGTCCTGTCACTGAACTCAAAGTTATCGAAATATACAGGCTGTGTAGCTGTGCTACCCGTCCTGAGCGTAGCATCCTGCGGGAGACACGAAGATTGAGAAACTGTTAGGTTGTCCGGGACCAGATGTGATTGAGAGGTGAACTCGCACGATAATCCTTAGGACAAGGAGCCTGTAGTTTAAGTTTTTCGCTACACAGAGCTAATTATAGTTCACAATAGCTAGAAGAAGCAACTAGTTTGGTTTGAGTTGCCGCTAAGTCGTTTGCCAGAAGAATTTACAACGGCCCTAAATTTGATTAAGCAAGGACTAGGAGTTGGAAGGTGGGCACCACTATTGCTGTTGGTGTATTCATATAGATTATTATTACAATGATGATGATGATGATGATGATGATGATGATGATCGGGGTGGTGGTGATGATGGTGATAAATCCAGTCTCAGCACTGAGGCTCCCGTATAGAAATTCTCGTCAATGAGTGAATAAGATTCTAACAGACGATTCTGCACACGCTTCTATTCTGAACACAGCGTTCCAGACAACCAATGTGCCCGAGTTATGCCAGCCGAAAGGGCGACGAAAAAGCCGGAATTTCTATAGTTTCTTAGACATCGCAAGATCATCACCAACATCGACAGCATGACGTCAATGTTTAACACAGATGCTTAGCTGCCGTACAACCACGATTCAATTGAAAGCCTTACTGTGAATAAAAGAATAAAGGTGGACAGGGAAGGGACTTAATTCTAACTTACTGCAACCATTCCTAGGTACCTACACCTCCAGACATTCACTTAGGCAATCTGGATAGAAAATGAATACAAGAACGCCACTGACATCGATTGATAGCCATGTCTTGCAGCGCCTTCAACTAGGAGCAGTGGGGATCATGGTGTCCCCATCCCGGAACGGGAGTAGAACCGACAGCGCCCAAACATTTCATGATTTCTTTCATACCCTTCTGCCATGTCAAAGGTTAGAGCCACCTCTCTATTTCCGCCACTCTGAGTTGCGCATGGAAAACAGTACTCTCTTCGGAAAACGACGGTTAGGCATACGCAACACATGTCCCAACCAACGCAGCTTCTGGTGCTGGACACATTCTTCAATGGAAGTATACGTTGCACAACCGGAAACGCGCTTTCTAACCACCTCGTTACGGATACGCCGACACCAACCCACACGAGCTATGGTTCTGAGGGAACGATTGTCGAACACCTGGAGACGTTTCAGTTCCGCTGCCTGAACAGGTCAAGTCTCACAGTCATTCATACAACACAACAGCCTTCACTTGATACACACGTCACTTCAGATTACGGGATAAACCACTCTGACACCATAGGT